CTTGGCGACGGACGTGAATCGGAGATGCAACGGAACCAGCGGCCTGGAGCGATTCCCGAAGACGCTGTGCCTTCTTGGGTTTCTTCTCGGATGGCACAAAGAGCGAGGGCACAAAGACCCACAAGCAAGTGCCGAGGAAAAACAAAACTTTCAGATGCGAGATAATCTGCGCAGGAGAGATGTAGTAGCCGCCAATGTGCATGTGAGAAGTCGATCCAAGGTAGCTGAGCAGCTGGATGGGCAGGGCAAAGAGACCGCGGCCCTCTGGCGACTCGTTGCTTTGCTCGTTCTCTCGCACAGCCTCGACGATCATGAGACCGGCGAGCGAGCCGACCATCAACTTGCCGAAGTACTGACTGCTGTTGCCCCAGCGTCCTTGCTGCTGCATCTGTTGCTGCTGCTGCTGTTGCTGGATTTGCTGCTGTCGCATTACGTTGGGGTTTCCGCGGTAGTTTTGCTGCGGCATGGGGTAAGGCTGGCCAGCCGCCATTTGCGCAGAAATAATGCGCTTCATGTCGTCAGGCACAGGAATCATTCCTTGTGCAGACTCGCCGCGCGGCGTTCCGATGGGTGTGCTCATGTACTGATCCTGGGGGTACTGCATAGGAGTCGGTGGTTGCTGGAGAGGGCTCATTGCACCATTCATCGCGCCAGCCATGAAGAGCTTCTCAAAGGCAGCGATTCGGTTCTGCATAGCATGGTTCTCATCGCAGAGACGATTATTCCTCTTCTCCAAATGGCGAATGTACTCGGTGGCCTTGCTCAGAACCTGCGATTGTCAGTCAAATGCCTCATTATAATGCATTGTCTGTCTGTACGACTTACTGTAGCCTTGTTGAGCTTGTGAGCTGGCGTCAAGCCGTGAAGCTCCTCGCGGTCCTCGGTTGTGTCTTCTCCCCTGGCACTCTTGGACATGATCCTCAAACTGGGGACGCTATCTCGAAGGGCGGCAATCTTGTCATTGAGGTTGGTGCGATATCTCTTCTCAATCATGTTGTGGGCCGTCTTTTTGATGGGCTGACCATCTTCATCTTCCTCCTCATCGTCATCTACATCAGCCGAAGACTTGCGCTTCCTGCTGGCCTTGCTGGAGTCGTGGGCATCGGGAGACGACAGTCCTGCTGCCTTGTGGTCGCTGGTGGCGGATCCGGGGCTCGGCTCGCTCTTGGGAGATTGATACTGAAGATGGGCAGGCATGGCGATATTTCTGAGCTTTTCCTGCTGAGCGGGAGTCAGGCGACTCAGCGTCTCTTGCGCGACGGTTGAGGGTTGGCCTCCTCGGTGGGGTTGCTGGTTATTGGGGGCGGGAGTGGGAGCGGCATAGAAGCCAGCCTGGGCGAGAGTCGAGTGGTCAAAGCCGGAGGTGACGGCAGGAGGGCCGTGTTGTTGGTGTTGATTATTCGGAGAGAATTCCCACGGAGCGGCAGTCTGGAATAGAGGAGTGGCGCCAGCGGCAGTGGTGACGGCAGCGATGTTGTAGGAGTCGTACGGGGGGGTGTCTTGAAAGGACCAATTGTTTGCGTCGTAGTAGGCCTGATTGTCGTTGGCGATGCTGGATCCAGTTCGGTCAGATTTGACGTTCTGGCCGTCGGAGTCGTCGAGGAACGACGGGGGCACGCCGAGGTTCGAGTCGTCGAGGCCAAATAAGGCGTTGGGATCCTGGTCCGCCATGTTGCAGAGCGGTCAAATATGCAACTATGGGCTGATGCTCAATTCATCGAAGTCGGGTCGGGCCTGGGATTCTTTGGGTGCGCTCGGCGCTGGGAATGGGGGCCAGGTCCCGAATCTGGAGCGGGACTCGATGTGGATGGCCGGCGAGCAGCGACGGGATCGGTGGACGAGGCCGCAGGGGCCAGAGATTGGTCGTGTCTTTTGGGTGAAGGTAGTGAGGTATCGGGAATGCGAGAGCAATTCACGGCAATCAGCGGCGTGGTGCTCAGCGGGAAGAATGTCTGGTCGTACGACTGTCGGCAGAAGGCGATGGACAGATGGGGATGGAGGAGAGACCCAGAGGGAAAACAAGCGAGAGGGTCAAAGTCGTATGACGCTGGTCTGCTTTTGCGGTGCCTTATTTTTCCTCTCACGGATGCGACGCAGCGTATTGACGGGACTTGTTGGGGGTGGGCCACTGCTCAGGGCCAGGCGCTGCAGGTCGAGGGAGGGAAGAGAAGAGGGGCGGGGGTTCCGTCAACGTTGTGTGTGTCGGGGGACTCGGTGGTTTGCTTGATGTTCCTTTCCGATGCATGCACATTCAACGTGCAGAGATTATCTGTAGTCGGAGTCGTACTCTGTTTGTCTGTACGGATACAATTGTCGAGAAGTCAAGGTGCTCAATTGCGGTTTGACAGTTGCAGTCAATGGGTGGAGGGCAGGCAATCGGAAATCGAATCGAAATCGGGTGGGAGGGTCGAAGGAGAGCGAAAGAGGGAAGCAGAGAATTGGGAGAGGGAGGGAAACGGGGGGAGCATCGTACGATTATCTAGAAACTACGCCTGATATGAGCCCAGAAACCGCAGGAGCCCAGACCACCACCCGTCCCTGCCCGTCCTTGCCAATGATCCATCTCGTCAGGTACGTATTCGTGCCTACCCCAAGTGCCCAAGTACGGAGTACCTTGGTACCTACACCTATCCATTCGTACCTTCCACCTACGGAGTACCTATTCGTAGTTTCGTACCCTTAGACTCGACACAGGAAGGGCCAGTCTTGGGTACCTTATCTTACCTTCCATGGCCCGTAGCCCGTCGTGCCCGCCCGCTGCCCGTCCCTCTCTCACATTTGGTTCGACCGTCGAGGGTACGAAGTACGTACTGTTGCCGTCGACTCGCCCCTGCTTTACTGCCCTGCGGATCCGGGATACTGCCACCAACAACTTCCTTCCTGCCAGGTCTGTTTCATTGAGCTTCATGAGGAAGTAGGCACGTAGGTACTCCCAAATCTCAAGACTGCCGGCTGACAATTCCAAGAAGGTCCACCACTTTGACAGCAGGTACGTATCCTCACACGTTATTTAATACGAGACGGTACCTTCCTCCCGTCTGCCCGCTCGCCCGCCCGCCCGCCATGGCTCCCCTCAGGTACCGACCTTACCTCGGGCACCACCCAGTATGTACTTATCCAGGCGCGCCAGGCCAGGGAAGGCAGATGAGCGAGAACTCAGTCAACTCACTCCAGTCTCACTCGCAACGATGTGGGACGCCAAAAGTCTGGCACAGGGCAGTCTGTCTCTGAGTCTTGGGATCAGCGCTGGGAGATGCCGGATCGGACTTGGTCATGGAGCCCCGGGGGACCAGGAACATCGCGCCGGCCGCGCCCTCTGACTTTCTCGGTGACAAGCGTCTCCCACTCTCTCACCCTGCCCTCTATCTCATCATTCAGAATACGCATCGCTCATCTTACAGGCTTTCCCCACTCCAGAAACGCCACTTTACAGCCAAGAAACGCTGCGCCGTGGCACGCCTGAGAAGTGAGTAGAGGGGGGAAAAGGCATGAGGGACAAGTCAAGAGTGAGAGAAGTGTGTGAGAGTTCATCCTTCGGATGAGAGGGGGGCCACCCGCGAGCCGGGAACGCCTTGGTAGTCCAACGCCTGAACGCTTCCACATGCTGTCTACAGTTACGGACCGAAACTATCGCTTGACACCGAGTCTTTAATTCCTATGGAATTCCATTGCAGAGTAAGGAAGGAACTGCAAGCGCTGTCCACGAATCCGGCCCTGTCCTCTTCCCCCTCACTTGTCGCCTGTATTCGTACTCTTCAGGCACAGGTAGACCGTAGCTCAGCTCCTCCTCACAAACACCAGCCAGCCAGGATCACCGCCCAACTCCAGCTCAGCTCGATGGATGTCCCATGATGACAACGGGCATTTTTCTGCCCTAGCCTTTTTACGTCTCCACACTTCATTTGCGATCGTCCCCGTTTCTCTTCAGTTGTTATTGATCTTCGATTGTCCGTGGACCTTACGTATCCGTAGATACTCACCAACCTACTTCGACCCTCGATGGCCAAGACTCACCGGCGCTCGCCGTGGCGTTGGGTCGCCGGATCACAAAAATTACAAGACACCTGAAGAAAGAAAGGAAAAGAAAAGAAAACTTCGCCTCAGCGGCCCTCACTGAAATTGAGAGACATTTATCAGCCGTAAGCTAGTAGAGCTTGACTAGTTCCAATATCTCCTCCCGGTGCTGAAAGCCTGAAAGCAGCTGTGGCTTTTTCCCACTATCACTTTGTCACCGGTGGCGCCTCGGTTTCTCTCTTTTCGCCTTTTCTTCTTCTTGGGCTCGTTCAAGAGTGTTTCTCGTGTACGGACATGTCTCTTATCTCCCCCCCTCACAAGCGCGCGCGCGCGTCACGGTCCTTTTGGTGCTTCATGCTTCTCTTCCACCCTGGGCCGTGTCCTCGACTCGTGGACCGTGTTCGCCCGCCTGTGCCTGTCTCTGCTTCTCAGTGCTCACTCACACCCAGTGTGCCAGTCTGAGGCTCCCCCTCGTCCACCACACCTAGGTAGCACACCTCGCCCTTTTGATTCTCACCCAGCGCCTCAGCGAGTGTCTCACAATGAAGCATGGCTGCGACTCACCCTGCCACAACACCACCAAGAACGCAGAAGGCCAAGCAACTCACCCCGCAAACACGCTTGACGTTCGCTTCTAACTATCCCCCCGGCCCGTTGAACCTCGTGCTCCAACGTCTTCAGCAACTCCCAAAGAACCGTAGAACTGTAAACGTCTGGGCAATGTCTCCCCTCATGATGAATCGTCATCAGATAGCCTTCCGAGTACCGTCTGCCTGCCGACCAGCACATGCTCTTTGGCTCTCCCTCACTTCTTCACTGTGACTGAACTTACTGGGCAACACTACCCCTCCCCCATCCGAGACACGAGAGACAATCCCTCAATCCTCCGTTTGGACCATCTGAAACGCCTATTCGTCCTTGACACGCATGGCACGAACCCTGAATTGCATTGTACAGCATTGCAGAAGTGCGAAAAACAAGGAGGGCAGAAAATAAAAAACTTAATCATTAAATACCTGGATGCTATCCGGTAGATCGTCTCGTTCCAGAGAGAGAGGGCATGACACATCATCTACCCTTTGTCCTGCGCGTACTGACTCTTGTCATAAACTCTGATCATTTGAACCGGAAACCCCTCTTCCCTTCTTGCTATGTAAAATGGTATTTTGCGTATATGCGATAAAAATCCGATGGAAGAAAAAAACATGATCCAATCAGGAGACAACGCCAAGAAACGTTTCTCTCTTCCTTTCTCTCTCTTTCACTTCCCCTCTCCTTCATCCCATTTCCAAAAGGAGTAAAAATAAAAAAAACATTTCATCATGACATTACCCTACGGTCGCCCGCCAGGCCCTGCTTTGCGTTGTCCACAGTCTATATGGGTATTTTGCCCTCGTCTCCTTTTCTAACCTCCCCAGAAACCTGCCCACAAGCGACCCCCGTTTACCAGATGTCATCATCACTCCTGACCATCTCCAACGTCGGCGTCTTGGGCTCCAGCTTCTTCATCCTCTTCCGGTCAGCCTTGGTAATAAGCGACGGCGTCATGGGCACGCAAGGCGTGAAAGGCTGATACGGCGAGTACGGCACCGCCATGCCAGTAGCTGGCGTGCGGGCTCCCGACGGCGACAGAGGTCCCGTGCGCGTGAACACGGTCTGCTTGGTGGTCTGCGACGCCAGCGAAGGCGAGCTGAGCGCGGGCTCGTACGCGCGCAGAGGCAGGGATCCGCCAGTGCGGACTGCCGAGGGCGCCTTGGACCGGAACCCGGCGCCTGGCAGGGGCGAGGCGGGGAGCTGGAACGAGGATCCCGGCTTCGGGGACGAGGGTAGGGTGGAGCTGAATCGGGCGCCCGGCTTCGGGGATTGCGGGAGCCCGATGAGCGGCGCGGTCGATCGCTCCGAGACGGCCGAGTTGGGATCCATTTCGGAGGGCGCTGCTGACGGCTTGCGGACGTGGCCGATGGGGATCTGGCCGCCGATCCGCTCGTCGATGCTCTGGGTGCTCTCCGGGGAGTGGTCCGGGCTGACGGGCGATACTTGGCCGTTGTGCTGGTGGACTCCGTATGGCATCTGCATCTGGCTCATGGGTACTGGAGGGGGCGGAGGCGGCGCGTACTGCCGCGGCGGGATGGCGTTCATCTCTTGAGCCTCCTGTCTCGGGAAAGTTCCCGTCATGGGCGTCATGATGGGTGATGAAATGCTGATACCTCGGACATTCTTGTCCTTCTTGGGAGAACGCAGGGCCGAGAAGATGGATGAGGCTCTCGACTGCTTCTTCTCCGGCTTCTCCTCTGACAGGTTCAGGTTGCCTGGCTTGTGCTTTGTCTTCCTCAGGGATGAGAAGCTGGCATTCGTCGGTGTTGGTAGCTGAGGGTTGGCCGAAAGTACCGGTGATCCTTCCAGCTTGATGCCCTGTAGTTTGGCCTCCTCCTGCTCCATCACGTACTTGTACATCTCCTCAAGTTGCGTTTGCGCCATTTTCTTGTCTTTGGCGACGATCCTCTGGTCAACGGTGAAGTCTATTCCGGGCGCCTGAAGCGTTGACGTTGGTGTTGGGTTGATGTAAGGGGTCTGGGGAGTTGGGTACTCCGGGGTCTGGTACTCCTCGGCACCGGGATACGAAAAGTTGCGAACGGGACTCCGGGGGATGCTCCTGGGCGAACTCGGCACCTCAAGGGTGAGTTTCGGGGGTGACTTTGGATCGTAGAGTGGCTCGTCAAGTCCGATTTCTTCAAAGTTCACCTCGACGTCACCGGCAGTGAGGGCCTCGCGACGTCTTTTCGATAGTACGAGCAACAAACCGGCGACCAGCACCAATGATACTCCGTAGGAACCGACGATGGCGCCGATCTGGTAAGGGAGATATGCAGGGTCTCTGAGAGCGTTTGCAGATGCAGGCGGTCCGTCCTCTGGTGACGGTGCGGGATCCCAATCAATATTCAACGGGTTGTTGTTGCTGCGAGTCTCCGGGACAGACGGTGACGGGGCTGCGTGTGTGATGTAGCTGTTGCTGCAGAAGAAGAAGAAAAGAACGAAGGTCAAGAAGTGAAGCCGAGGACACGAGTTAAGAAGGGCTTGGACGGGTTTCATGGTGAGGTGGTGAGGGCACCGCAACTCTTCTTAAAAGTCAAATCCAGCTTTGATGATCTTACCTCCTGGAGGAGGGTCCGAAACACATTGTGATGGAGAAGTTACATGGAAAGGCACGGATATGTGGCGTACAAAGGGTATATAGCGGCTGGTGAAGTTCGGCAGTGCGTCGAGATTGGCGCTGACCGTGTGCTCTGGACTCTGACTTGCTGAACACCCAGGCACGACTCCTGCGAAGCGGTCGCACTTGCATGATGGCGACGATAAAATAGCGCCCAAAATGGCTCGTGGCTATTAATGTCGTCTGCAGGGGAGGCGGGAGCATCAAGGGCTTCCCGAGATGTGGTTGGACGGATCGACGTGATGGCAGGGGGCCGTAAGCGCCGAGGATGGCTGCCGGGGGCATGATTGGGTTGCTCCGTCACATCCAAGTTGATCCAACCCCGCGCCGTGCCACCCTTCGTTGTCGTTCAACAAGAACTCTGCCAACTCAATTCGTCCTCGCAGGGCAATAACCATGTCCTGCCATGCCCTGCCATGGCCCCAAAAATGGGTGACCACTAAGAGTCGGAATCACCGTGGTTTGTCGTGAACAGTGGTGAAAAAGAGGAGCGGTTCCCGGGTCAGCTGTTCAGGTGGTTCCGCCTGTCGTCCTCGCTTCTCATCCTGTCTCTCAAGATATCTCAACTCTCGACTGTCCAAGGGACACACATGCGAAGCGAATCCAGTCCCCCGATTTCAGGTCCAAGTCCCGGCAGCGGGAAGGCCATCCCTGCGTTGGCCCCATCACTATCTCTTTCTGACCGCATAAGCAGCTGCAATAGGGCGCAACGTTATTGCACTGGCCTTGCCCTCTGGGGCATCGCATCACAGGCGTCCTCGAATGGGATCTCTGCCCAAGTGTGACTTCACATTGCGGGCAGCATTAAAGCGTGATGATCGTAACTTCATCACAGTGATAGGACCGACGCCCTTTTTCTCCCGTACATCGAGCGACATCGACCGATGGAACGTTGGCTTTTGTTTCTGCCCGTTGAGTTGCTCCTGTTTCTCATCCTCGACGGAGGGGAAAACTTTGGGCGAGCACGGTGGATTGTCCGTTCGCTTTCGGCGGGTAGCGAACAACCCTTCACGAGTCATCAAAGCAACAATGAGGGAAACAGACTTTGTCTGAGCGATGCTTATTCGCTTTGCCCAATGGAGCGTTCCATAGTTCCTTACACCCTTCCAGCCGGTCTGGCACGTCTGGGTGTGATGGAAACGGCGGGATGGGACTCTGGATCGAGGAAACAAAAGCCAGCTTGTCGAATCAACGCCACGCATGATGGTCTCGGCATAGAGAAAGGGGGCTGTGGTGTTCACCCCGCGGAGCTCAACCGACAAACCGTCGGCGAATGCATCCGGATCCGAGAGCAGTGTGACTGCACCGCCTATTGAAACCTGTCGATGATTGCCGCAATAGGGCTTCTTTTGCCTGAGCGTTGGAGGAGCATCGAAGCAACGGAAGAAGCCAAACTGAATCGTCGGGTCACCAAGTGGCTGGGTAAGATAAGTAGTTCAGGTCTCAGTGGGTGACTTTGAATGCCACAATGAAAAGGTATGTATTCGTCTGAGACTCAAAGAAAGAAGCCATCGACGAGAGTTTGGCGGTCCGGTATGGGAGCGTTCCTCAGTGCGAGCGTCGTGCAGGTGGGTCGCGGAGCTGTGCGGATCTGCGGATGCACGTGCGTGGCGAGGGATCCTTGGCAGTGGGGCTCATCCCACGTGAGCGGTCACCTGATGTCGTGTACCGGGTACTCAGGTACCGCGATGTTGACTTGGGTGCTGGTGCCACGGTCAAGTAACAGCTAGACGCGTCAACTGAGCCTTGAGACGCGACCCTCTTTGTCAGAAGGTGATGCCAAGCAGAGCATTCACTTCTAAACCACTTCCTGTATATCAATCTTTCCATTTCATGCCTCTTTCTCGCCAATGATCGCCTTCCAACAATGAGCTCGTCAAGTTCGGCCCCAGGCCCGGCCGAATCCATCCTTGCTACGTTGAACCCAGCGCAATGTCGCGCCGTAACATCCAAGAATGCCACTGTCGCCATCCTGGCCGGCCCTGGAAGTGGCAAGACGCACACCTTGACATCGCGTGTCGTTTGGCTCGTGGACAATGTCGGGTACGCGCCTACTGACATGATTGTCGCCACTTTTACAGTCAAGTCCGCACGGGAGATGAAGGAGCGCATCTGCAAGGCCCTTGGGGATGACCGTGGAAAGAAGATTGTCCTCGGCACGTTTCACAGTATTGCTCGCCGTTATCTGGCTGCCTATGGCAAGCGTATCGGGCTTGATGAAAAGTTCGCCATTGCCGACGATGGAGACTCGAGGGCCATCATCCAGAGGATTTGCAAACGATTGCAGCTATCAGTTGATCCCCCTGCTGCAAGATCCTGGATCAGCAAGAAGAAGGCTAGAGGTGACAATCAGGCGCCATTGAAGCGGAATGGCAAGCCAGTGCCCGAGAATCGCGACCTGGAGACATGCTTCCGAGAGTATCAGAGCCACCTCGAGCGGTCGAACCTGCTGGATTACGATGACCTGTTGACTCAATGTGTGGAGCTACTGCGAAAGCATCCTTCATGCGTCGCCAACGTTCAGGCTGTGCTTATCGACGAGTACCAAGACACCAATGGCATTCAATACGAACTCATGAGGCTGTTTGCTCAAGCCCGAGAACGAATCACCATCGTGGGGGATCCCGATCAGAGCATCTACGGTTGGCGGTCCGCCGAGATCAAGAACTTGTACCGTCTTCTAAAGGACTATCCCAAGGCGGACGAAATTTCACTGGAGGAGAACTACCGTTCCTCGCAAGCAATCTTGGATGTCTCCCTGAAGGTCATTCAACAAGATAAGAAGCGCTACCAAAAGATCCTTTTGCCTATCCACAACAAAGGCACGCGACCAGTTCTTCGAAGGCTCAAGTCTGCAGCTGTCGAGGCCGAATGGATTGTGTCGGAAATCAAAAGAGCTCTGCTGATGGCCGGCAAGATGCTAACCTACGATGACGTGGCCATTCTCCTACGGTCGGCAGCGCTTTCCAGGCACGTCGAATCTTGTCTGGGCAAAGCCGGCACTGCATACAAAATGGTTGGTGGTTTCAAGTTCTACGAGCGCGCAGAGGTCAAGGTGATTCTTGACTACCTGCGTGTCATTCACCAGCCCGACAACAATGATGCAGTGGCCCGCATCATCAACGTACCTCGCCGCGGCGTCGGAGACACAACTATCAAGTCCCTTCTTGAGGAAGCCGAGAGCTCCAAGCTCAGTGTTTGGGTGGTACTCAACAAACACTGCCGGGGAGAGCGTCAGGCAAAGACGAACATCAAAAAGGCAATGGAGCAGAAGATTAGCGCAGGGCTTCTCGGACTGATTTCTGGCATCAGAAGGAAGATCGAAGAGCCTCCTACCGGAAGTCCGTACTACCATTTGGTTGATCTCATTCAAAACCTGCTTTCACAGCTCAACTTCCAAAAGTACCTTCAGGAGAACTACCCCGAAGAGCACGAGACGCGATGGGCCAACGTCCAGGAGTTCATCAGTCTGGCGGGCGACTTTATGCGAGACTTGAGCGCCACAGCAGAGGAGGACCGTCTCCCAGTGATCGATGGAGTCCAGCAGGTGCAAGAGAACGACGCCCTTGGCCGGTTCTTGGCAAACGTATCCTTGGCATCGGATGCGCAGCAGAAGGGAGATGCGGAGAACAAGCCGACTGTAACCATATCAACTATCCACGCAGCCAAGGGCCTTGAATGGCCTATTGTCTTTGTACCAGCGGTGTACAATGGATCAATCCCACACTCGAGGTCCGAGGATCTCGACGAAGAACGTCGGCTGCTCTATGTGGCCATGACACGGGCGCAGACACTCCTCTATCTCAGTTTTCCAATGTACAGCTCGCAGAATGGAGGAAACGGGGGCGAGCGTACTGAGCTATCGCCTTTTATCCCATCAGACATTCATCCGTATTTTATGAAAACCGGACCATCTTTCGAGCCTGGAATTCTTCAAGAGATGGGGCGCATTCTCCGAAGGGAGTCTGTCGTGCCAACGCAAGACAAGGTGTACAAGGACCTACCTCCCATGGAACGGCCCGAAGACAACTTGTGGCCCGAAGATCCGGAAGACTCTTTTGGCGAGAGAGGTGCAGGTGGGAGAAATATACCCTGGGCACAAAGACGCCCCCGGGCACAGGCAACTTCAGCATCAGAAGAGGGTGATTCCCAGACGATACCCACCTGGCACACATCTACAACAATGGATAGTGCTTCCAACTTCACTTTGCCGGGCTTCACGACTGCAAGCGCGGCCAGGGAGATGCTGGCCGCTGCAAGGGAAATGGCCGCATCCGCTCAGCGCAATGACTCTAGGCCAAAAAAGTCGGCCGCGCCCAAAAAGGGGACGACGAAGCGGCCAGCTGATCAGCGAAGTCTTCTGGGCTTCGTCAAGAGGACCAAAGGCTTCGTCAAGAGGACCAAGTCCGATTTCTCAGACACATCCTACCCATCAGTACATCGACCATCCGCTCCCGAGCCACGATCGGTTGCTCAAGAGCTCCCAGAGTTGCCAAACTTGCACCAAGCGCAGCGCCCTGTGCCTGCCATCGAGCCAGGCCTCAGTGGTCACCGACTCGGGCAGGGAAGATTACCCGCCAAACCATTAAGACCTGCTTTCGAAGGCACCGCGGGGCCAAAGAAACACTACACAAACTTCTCAAGCTCCCCGCCTCGACCAATGTCTCCCGAAAAGGAGAACCAAGACACAAATGAGCCACCGCCGGTCCGGGAACGGCCGGCGAGCTGCTTACACACAACTACGACTACGAATGGCTTTGGGGGATTCAAGAGGCCGGCGGCGTTGAAGAAGGAAGGGGGCCTTGCACCAATAGACCGGCTGAGGAAGCCCTTTAAGCCGCTGACGATTAATAGATCATGAGGGTTCAAGAGGGCATTTTACTTGGACTTTGTTGCGGCGTTATTACAGGTATGGCATTGCTCGGGGGTTGGTGTAGCATGACGATGGAAGAACATTAGATTAGTACTGTGTACATGGAACATCTTGGTTACAGGATTCCTTGCCTCAGGCACTTGGCCTTAGTGATGAGCCCAATACAAGCCCAATGTACCCGGGTAAATCGAAGTCACTGCGACACAACATTGTTCCTCCGAGCTGACGGAAATGTCTCCACTTTCCCCGGGTGCAGTCGGGGTGGGTGTGCCACCTTCACGCTTAGGCATGTCGTTTTACGATGACTCCAGCGCATCCTTCGTAAAAAGGGCAGACGCTCGGGTCGTAAAGAACGGCGGATGGAGGATATAAGCTCGTCGAGTGCAAAGCAATAGATGAAGATACCATGGTTGGTATCAGTCACTACAAACCATCCAAGCATAGCTCATTGCCAGTAGACTACCTACATATATTCGCTTCTCAATTCTTGAATACAGAATAACCAGAACAGAAATCCAAGAGCCATGTTCGCGGCAACAGCGCGTATTATGACAAGGCCCCTCGGCCTCCCCGCAGGTCTTCGGGCCCGCCCGCTCCAGCGCACCGCCTTCTCCACCACGCCGTTCCGGACCACCGGCGGCACTACATCGGGCAAGAACAGTGGCAACGTCAACGGCAACAAATCGGGAAGCGGAGGAGGAGATCCGATTGAGATTCCGGCATTCAATCTTCGACATATCACTTCGAGTCCCCGGGCGCGGTTCTGGTTGATTACGGGGTTTTGCGTGATTGCGAGTGTGGAGATGTATGGGTGGTATAACTTTGGGCCGAAGATTTTGGGGTGGGAGGGGAAGGGGAAGGATGAGTGATGGAGCTACGCGTGAACATCAAGGGACTCTGAGAAGTTGTGGTTCGCTCGTTTGGGAATTTGTCCCTAGGCGATGGTTTCTCTACATATTTTAGATCGTCAATGCCATCAACCATGGCTTTGAAGGTACCAGCAAGACCCGCCAGATGTGTACTTTTGCGAATAGCTCTCTGGTATGCTTATAGTTTTGCTTATGTATATCCCAAAACCTATCACATCTCCTTTCTGCCAAAGACCGTATGTTCCACCTGGAATGTGTGAATGTGGGGCAAGACTCGACAAGAGGCTCCATGGGGCCCCCAGCAGGAACTCGCGAGTGCCTGCTACACCGTACTATGTCATAGTTGACCTTTCCGCCGATCATCGCACTTAGCGAAGATCAAATTAATATACGTACCAACGGTCTTATCTTGTTAAAAACGTTCGACCAGTACTAGATCATATGTGACCGTGTCGTTGCTTAGATGATATTTTATAAAGAAGGTCTTTAAAGGACCTATGGGGCCTTGCTGGGGATCCTGCCTGCGGCATCCCAGCCGGGCATAGGAAGGCGATTGTGAGGCGAAAGATCCAAACATTGCATTGAAAGGGAATTTTACATGAGAACAGGCTCACTCAAGATCTTAGCAGAAGCTTGTTCAGAGTAATTTCCTGGGCCACCCGCATCACTCATGGCCAGTACAAGGCTGGTCCAACCGTAAGTTTGGTCAGGTCATCGGGTATGGAATTATACTAGGTACCGATGGAATTTCCTAGACAGTGACAGTATGAACGGTGGTCTCTCAGAAAAGTCTTCTTCTCAAAACTTCTCTTTGAAATACGCATAAAGTTCATCAGAATCCACATCGAAGATTGGGCCCTCAAACATCAAGCGTCCGGACGACCTCAGGGACATGCCAGTGGTGGTCTAATTATTGTGAACGCAGTTTGCTAGTAATGATTATGAACTATGCTCCGCCAAATATACTTCGTATCAAAAACTAGGTGGGTAGATGTTTGGAAGGCCAGGGCTAGTTGATGGGCTGTGACACACTGAGTGACGCAAAGGCACCTGTGTGTACCCTGAAAGTTGTCTATCAAGCACACGATGCTCACCGTGATGTAATGTTTCTGTCGGCTGAGATACACAAACAAGTTTAGAACCGAAACCTCCGGGCCGAGCCTTGAGCGGGACTGGATTGGAGTGCCCGGATTACAAGGTACGGATTTGCCCTGGAGTCCGGGGGATATCCCCGCGTGGGCCTCCGGAAGGGCAGCCGACCATATTCCGCATTGGGCAGGTGCCTGACTAAGAGACGCCACGTGACTGTCATCGTGACGCCATTGATTCTGCGGCACTGACAGCGGAGTGGCTGGGGAGCAACTCGCCAATGGAATGGTCCCCAAGCTCCCCCCAGGGCCCCAGCCGAGAGCGAACGATGGCCCCACTTCTGCAGGCAGGAAACACCAGCAGCCGGTCGGGTGGGTGCGGCGTTGCGCACCTCAGGCAGTACCGCAGTGGCCCGTAGTGGGTGCCAGCACTGAGACACCCGCTGCCGCTGCTGGTTTCTGGTGCAACTTGAGGTGGATGACGCAGGCACGCCGTAAAACGCAGGCGTAAGAGTCGCAAGTGCAAGAGCAAAATGCGCCACACGAGCAGCAGCCCACCGCACCTACCTTACCGGAGCTCCCAGAAAGCTTAGGCAGGTTGCTACCCCAGAGGCAGGCGCACCCGGACGGTATCGTGTGTCACTGCAACCGTCCAACCTCCATCCGTCCCTCCCATTCCACACCTCACACTTACCATCTGCCATCAAACCGTCCACCATCCCTTGCTTTGGGATATTTTGCGCGACGGGCGTTTCTTTCCTCTATCTCTAATCATCTTTGCATATTCCTCAATATTCTCCTTCTTCAGCACAACACTCCATCAGTAACCCGACCCTAGCCGCTGAGCGGCACATACGACGCCCACAATGACGCTGTTGAAGCTGCTCGGAGCTGGCGGCCTGCTGCTGGCCTCCCTGAGCAGCGTTGCAGCAGAGCCACTTACACCAAAGCATGAAGCTGGACGATGCGCGATGCGCGGCCATTGTGGCAAAAAGAGCTTCTTTGGCAAGCAGCTACCCTGCCCCGACAATGGTCTGGCTACGGACCCCGATGAAGACCTGCGAAAGCAGATTGTCGACCTTTGCGGTGCCAAATGGAACTCCGGTCCGGTTTGCTGCGATGCTGACCAGGTAAGTTATCGGCATCAAAGCTTGGCTGCTGTTCACCTCACTGATGTGTACTGCTCAACAGGTCGAATCGCTCGCCTCCGAGCTCGGTACCCCGAACCAGATCGTCTCTTCCTGCCCGGCTTGCAAGGACAACTTCTTCAACCTGTTCTGCACCTTCACATGCTCTCCCGACCAGTCCCTCTTCCTGAACATCACAAAGACCCAGGAGAAGAACAAGAAGACTATGGTGACGGAGCTGGACCAGCTCATCTCAAAGGAATATGGAACTGGTTTCTTCGACAGCTGCAAGGAGGTCAAGTTCGGTCCCTCCAACTCCAGGGCCATCGACTTTATCGGAGGTGGCGCAAAGAACTACTCCCAGCTGCTCAAGTTCCTGGGAGACGAAAAGGTCATCGGATCGCCCTTCCAGATCAACTTCCCCACCGAGTACAGCGAGCCGAGCATGGCCCCTCGCGACATGACGCCCAAGAAGTGCAATGACGAGGACCCCAACTACCGTTGCGCTTGCGTCGATTGCCCCGATGTCTGCCCGGAACTCCCGGCCGTCTCGAAGCCTGGCGAATGCCATGTCGGCCTTCTGCCCTGTCTGTCGTTTGCGGCCATCTTCACCTACAGCATCCTCCTGTTCGCTGCCATCGCTGGCGTTGTCGGACACGTTGTTTGGAGACGCCGTGCCAAGAGAGAGAGCGAGCGCCTCCGACTTCTGCAAGATGCTTCTCCCAGCGACGATGAGGATGAGGGCGATTTAGTTCAGAATGGCGCCATGTTTGACAGACCTCAAAGATACTACAAGATCAATACCTGGTGCGACGCGGCCTTTAGCAAGCTCGGCCACGCAGCAGCACGCTACCAGGGAATCACCATTGGTGTGACACTCATTGTCGTCATCATTCTCAGTGCCGGTTGGGTCAGGTTTGACCTTGAGAAAGACCCTGCGCGCCTCTGGGTTAGCCCCACGTCTCCTGCTGCTCAGGAAAAGGCATTTTTTGACGAGCAGTTTGGTCCATTTTACCGCGCCGAGAAGGTCTTCTTGGTCAACGATCAGCACTCTAGCGGCCCTGCTCCTGTACTCAGCTACGACACGCTAATCTGGTGGATGGGTGTTGAGAAGAGCGTTAAGCAGCTGAAGGGCCCCAAATTTGGCGCCACCTTAAACGATATCTGCTTGAAGCCTACTGGCACCTCTTGCGTTGTCCAGTCTGTGGCGACCTACTTTGGCGACGAACCCTCGCTTGTCAACAAGAATGGCTGGGAGGATCAATTGCGACAGTGCGCAAAGTCCCCCGTCGAATGTCGTCCCGACTTTGGCCTTCCTCTTGAGCCGAACATGATTCTCGGCGGTTACGAGGATGATCCCGCTGCTGCTCATGCCATGACCGTCACCTGGGTCGTCCAAAACGCAGCTGAAGGTAGCCCGGCCGTCGAGCGTGCCATGGACTGGGAAGTCGCACTCCGTGACCGTCTTCTCGAGGTTCAACAAGAGGCTTCGGATCGAGGACTTCGACTTTCTTTCTCCACTGAGATCAGCTTGGAGCAGGAGTTGAACAAGTCTACCAACACCGATGCCAAGATTGTGATCATCAGCTATATGATCATGTTCCTCTACGCGTCGCTTGCCCTCGGATCTACTACGCTGTCGTTCCGGGATATGATCAGGAACCCAGCTGTCGCTTTGGTCCAGTCCAAGTTCTCACTCGGCGTGGTTGGCATTCTGATCGTTCTCATGTCCATAAGCGCCTCTATCGGGCTTTTCTCCTGGTTCGGACTCAAGGCAACGCTCATCATTGCCGAGGTCATCCCCTTCATCGTTCTTGCTGTTGGCGTGGACAACATCTTCCTCATCGTTCACGAGTTTGAACGTGTCAACGTTAGCCACCCTGATGAGATGGTCGAGGAGCGTATTGCCAAGGCCCTGGGACGCATGGGGCCGTCGATTCTTCTCTCAGCTCTGACTGAGACTGTTGCTTTCGCACTCGGAACCTTTGTGGGCATGCCCGCGGTGCGCAACTTTGCCGCCTACGCCGCGGGTGCTGTCTTCATCAACGCTATTCTTCAGATCACGCTCTTCATTTCAGTTTTGGCCATGAACCAAATTCGCGTGGAGGACCACAGGGCAGACTGCATCCCTTGCCTCCAGGTCAAGGCAGCCCGTGTCCACCTGGGTGGCGGAAACGGAAATGCCAACGCGCGATTCTACGAAGTCCCGGAAGAGAGCTGGCTGCAGCAATTCATCCGCCGTACATACGCACCGGCCATCCTTGCAAAGCAGGCCAAGGCCATCATTATTGCCATCTTCTTGGGTATCTTTGCCGCTGGAATCGCACTTATCCCCGAGGTGCAGCTTGGCTTGGACCAGCGCGTTGCCATCCCCGACGGCTCCTATCTCATCCCCTATTTCAACGATCTTTACAAATACATGGAGACTGGTCCTCCTGTCTATTTTGTCACCAGAGAGTTCAACGCGACTGCTCGCAAGAACCAACGCGAGATCTGCGCAAGATTCACCACCTGCGACCAGTTCTCCCTCTCTAATATCCTGGAGGGCGAGCGGAAGAGACCCGATGTCTCTTTTATCTCGTCGCCGGCTGCTAGCTGGATCGATGACTTCTTCCTGTGGCTCAACCCTGACCTCGGCGACTCGTGTTGTGTTGAGAACGGCAAGGCATGCTTCGCTGATCGCAACCCGCCTTGGAACATCACCCTTTCGGGTATGCCCCAGGATGGCGAGTTTGTCCACTACCTCGAGAAGTTCCTCAAGGCGCCCACCAACGACGACTGTCCACTTGGAGGCCAAGCATCATACGGTAACGCGGTGGTGGTCGACTCGGAGAAGGACACTATCCCTGCCAGTCACTTCAGAACGATGCATACCCCGCTCCGCAGCCAGGACGACTTCATCAACGCCATGTCGGCAGCCCGAAGAATCGCATCCGACATTACAAAGTCAACGGGTGTTGAGGTCTTCCCCTACAGTCTTTTCTATATCTTCTTTGACCAATACGCCAGCATCGTCTCGCT